CAACTACTCCTATTTCACGATTAAAGGACGAATTCACGATGAAAAAGCAACCCATTTCAAACCTAGGGATGGTGAGTGGTACACGAAAGAAGGAAGAACCATGAGAAACGGCCCAGAACCCGAGAAATGGTACCCCTTCCTTGCCCGTTGATTCGAGCATTGATGCGACTCTCATCGCTGTGCCCTCTTCAACACTACGCTCTCTCTCAGCTATCTAATCACTCGGGGAGAGGGAAACTTAGTCAGGATTGACCTTTCACACCTCCTCGCCGTGGTTATCTCGCGCCACCCTGTAACCTGCCTCTGGGTAGACCTCGCTTAATTAGGTGTGCTGAGTGCTGACCTCTCTCCAACATATCGCTCTCATGCGCAGTATTGATTATCAAGTCTATCATTACTATATTCACGGAAACAAACAAAAGTTTAATTTATACAAATTTTTAGCATAGTTAACAAAAAATTCAGATTATACAGATGTATTAGTGACATTTCTCGACATCCTACTGCAAAGTCGTTCTATTTCTTCTTGAGATGCGCCGTTTTGGCAACACTTTTCATAAATTAGTTTGCCTGTAGGGAAGTTAGGCGAAACTTTTAATTTCGTAAGGTGAAACTTCAGTTTCGGGGGGCCACTCCATTGCTAACTTATACGTAGTACTAGAGAGCATTCACTTGTGCTATTTTGTGCTATCCAACGCTATGATAAGATTAGTAGATAGATACGCACTTATTTTATTATACGCGGGCGTACTTTTAAAGTTTTTTCTGGGGATGCTCTCCGTTCCACACATCCTGCCCACATATATCCACTTTTCTACCCAGGTCATCCACATTGGAGCTTCACCACCCCTAGACATAGGCAGGTAGGGTGTCCATTATCCTTGTCCAGAACCTTTTCATGGACCATGGCAGGCGGAATATGTGAAGAAATCTTGGGACTTCTTCCACATTACAGCGATACTAATCGGAATATACTCTAAATGAGCCGATTACGTGTCATTAGTGCTCTCATCCTTATCTTGAGCATTGGAGAAACAATGGAGTGCCCCCCCCCCTCTGGAGTTTCTCCTTCGCACCTGTTCTGCGTGGAAACGGCTCGCTCTGCGAGTGCTGTTAGCTAAAAATTAATTATTTTTGAGACCCCATTTTATCCTTTTTTCTGAGATTTTGTTTCCTCTAACCGCTACTGCATAAATGAATTTATTACCAATATCAATATCCTCTATAATGAGTCTGTCGGAGTTGGGTCAGCACTCAGCTCAGCTAATTAAGCGAGGTCCACCCAGAGGCAGGTTACAGGGTGGTGCGAGATAACCACGGCGAGGAGGTGTGAAAGGTCAATCCTGACTAAAGGTGCACACCCGCTCTCTCGCACCTGCGTATGAATTACTATGTGCGACGGCGAGACCAGATGATGGTCGGTGGGCGGAGATCGCCGGACCCGCCAGCTTTGAGGCATGATAGGTCGCCGAGGTCAAATTTTTCCATGCGAATTGCGCGTCAGTTCGCACCCTCAGGAGGTCCGTGGGTCCCTCAACTAGGTCAGTTTCCCTTTCTTCGACCTTCATTCTAATCGTGAATTCCTCCTCCTTAATTCTACGATTGAAGCAGCTATTTTGTAGAAAAAAGTATGAAGAAGCACGCCAGAAAGAAAAATGAAAAAAACCCTGAGAACCTTGAAGGGCTCATTCCGAAAGGGGCAGCGCTCTCGAAGAGACACTAGGCGCCGAGAAGAGAAACTGGACGGGGGAGCACGGCGGCGAGCAAGACGCGGACACCCTGCTGATGGACTGCGAGACCCTCGAGTAAAACCCGCTGTCACTCGCTGCCAAATAACTTTAGCTCTCTTGTCGTATTCTTTCGAGTCGCAGATTACCTACATTTGTTAACATTTCAATTTTACTCACGGAAGCGCTCCATGACTTATTCGTGGAATGTGCCTTATTGTGTGTCATTTTTTATTGAAGATATTTGGTACTTTTGATGTTGCTTTTGATGTGGTACGTTCGTGTTAAGTTCGACGAGGAGGACGGCATCTACGAGATCTCATGCTACGCCAGACCGCCACCGATCTTGTTCTTTATAGGAGATGACTCGTACGCTATCGATTACACAGACTACATTGTTCAGGTTCGCCCTTCTAAAGTATTACTACACAAGGTCACCTAAACTTGAACAACTTTTACATTGGCTACCGCTGAACTCGGCCTGAGGCGCCTCCACTATCACGATTGTGGCCGCTCGCAAGATACAGGAACATCCTCTAGAACTAAGCCTACGAGAGGGTACGGATTTGAGGAAAATGAAATTGCTAACACACACTGGGTTCTCTCCTCTCCGCCTTAAGCTTAGTCCATTTGCAACGAAAGGGGATGTTTTGGTGGTTTGAATGCGTTGATACAACAATGCCCCGTATCTTGCGATAGCTCCCGACAGTGTTGACGTGAACGTGTCGTAGGGATTAATGTGTCTTTAGCATTCCTTCATACCCTTTTTGTTTTCTTCACGCGAATATTGTTCTAATGAGCAGCGTGAGCTGAATTTTTCTGAGGCCTCAGTAAGCCCCCATTTCAGCTTTTGTGATGTACTCTGCTGTTCCTAGTCTGTAGCCATTTCACAAAGCTTTCAAAGTGATTCATCACTACAACCATTGCCAAACACTTTCTAAAGTTGCCATGTACGGCCTTGAATGAACCTCGGCATGTATGTTTCTAGCTTTCTTCTATTGAACACGACACGAGGTTGATAAACAAGCTTTATGGGCTAACGTTTCGGCGGGGTCGCCTTCGTCAGAGCCTGCAAAAGCCTAATCAGTTTATGACAACCCGACCAAACGTCGCCGCCACCTTATAGAAGTTCAAAATCAACCCAAAACATCGCTAGCCCCAAGAAGGACCACTTACCGCAATTCAGTCCGGGCTTCTAGACCAGCCACAAAGCCAGCACCAGCTGCAATCCGGACTCTTTCCAAATGAGAGTCACTACTGGAAGGCTAATCTTATATAAGGTCTTAACTCCCTCGTTATCATGAGGCCTTCTTCCCTCTGATTCATTTTAGGACTGCTGACTTGAATCCAAAATGCCTCAAGGGTTTTCCGTGCAGATGTTTCTGATTCTTGAGCCAAGACCTTAACTGTGACTTCAAAGTCATCCCCATCATGAATTTGAACCCTGTGGGCTCCTAAAGCAGTTGATGATCGTGACCTATTCTTGCCCTCTATGTGCTCTTTTACACGTACACAGAGCGGTCTTGCCGTCTCGCCGATATACTCGTCTCCCACAAAAGGAACAAGTGATTTTGTAAACTTTCTAAAGTGTCCCACAGCTAGCTGAAAATGTTTCCTATTCTCATTAAATGGATTTCGTCAATCCCGTGGTAATCTTTTCAGGTTCGAGACAGTCAGGTTTGCTCTAAGAGTAAAGAGGAGCTGTGTGGTGAAAGGGTCCTCTCTCTGGGCTGTTCAGTATCTTCACAGCTGAGATACCTAGTTTGTCCGAAGAGCCAAATGACACAACCAAGATACACCCTGATGATGTGGAAACGTGAGCAAAGAACAAATACATCACTGACTCAATAACTGGAAGACACCACTTCCCTAGCTAATTAGGCAGAGGAACGGCGACTACGGGTAGACGACAGCAGGCCGGTTGCTCGGCGAGAAGGCAAAGAAGCGGGCTGGTCAGCGGACGAGCCGCAGCGCGTACTTTATTGGTCTTGTATAGAACATGAATAAACACTATATAGAATATAGTATAGTGCGTCTCACGGCACACAGCTTACGCTGCGACTCGTCTGACCTGTCCGCATCTTAGCGGTGGTTGCCGGGTACTTGACAAGGGGTTCGTGGCTGCTTCTAGCGAGCACGGGCTCCTGTCAAGGGTACAGGCAGCTGCCATAGGACTATACGTAAAGCGCTGATGATGGTCAAAATAAACCCGCGGCCGCTGTTAGCTCGTCAATGTTGGTCCAATATTTCTGTCAGTCTTTTGTGAGGCGGTCTGGTTGTGCGCTGTCACGGCTCTTCAGTTCCATGTCATTGGAGATGTCGCTCAGGGATTTAGCGTATGACGCGAACATTTTGTTCAAGGCATTAACTTCTACCAATATGTCATACGTTTCAGGACCTATAGGGTGCACGTTCAACTTTGGTTGGTTCTGTGGGCTGCGTTTACGTCACTTGAATGAAACAGTGTTGGTGGAAGGCAAACGGGTGGAGGGAGGAACCTTTACTGAGATTGTGAAAATTGGACAATTTGTTGATATATAGAAATTGCTATTTCAAGAACAGCCTTTCCTCAGTGTGCACCTTTTTTTTAGTCTTGAGAGTGAAGCAATAGTAGTGTGCTAAGTTTATCCCATCATGTTCCACGACACTATCGACACCGTCCACTTTTGGAGATGGGGCTGATTCGCAGATCAGCTACAAAAGGGGTGGGTTCGTCGCAATTTCACTTTTTTCCAAGCTTTCAAGATGAGCCCTACACATCCAAGATGTGAGCCGATGGAGCAGTCGGAGAGTGGTCAGGACTTGAGCGTTTTCACGGTTTCAAGGCAAGCTAGCAAGAACGGTTCTTTTTCACGGAAGTTTGGCCGCACGCTATTCTAGGAAAACGCAGTGAGGAATAACAAAAGATTGCGAACATTTCTGCAGAATTAAGTAATGAAAGACCAGATAGTTTCGGAGTAGGTCTAATTCTTACGGTATGCCGGAAAGTGGCTTCATCCATGTTGTCACAAAGTGCTGGGTGTGGTTTTTAATGTGAAGCTTTTCCAGCTCGAATACCGGTCAGTGTATGCTTGCTCTGATGCCAACGAAAATGTATATTGGGTCATGGGATTTCCATTTATTCGAAGCTACTGCCACGTGTACGACATCGACAATAGACGATCGATTCGCCCGTCGGTAGACGCTTCCTTTAGCATACACGTTCTACTTTCAAAGAAACTCGGCATCTCTTTCCAGTACAGATATCTGAATGATTTAGCTTGTAATCGAGACAGTTAATAACAGTTTAGTTTGCTTGGCGCATTTATGGTGATGTCGCTTCTCGGAGACTGTAACATGAGCATTGGAAACTATTGGTCCAAACGACTAGTTTCCAACTCAACGGTAATAGCGATTTGTCATGATTTTTAAAGACTACACTTCGACCTGAATGGTCCAACTGACACCTTGAGCTGGTAGAAATGACTTAATTGGGGGAGTCCCCATCTTCTAGCGACCAGGTAATGTCACAGAAGGCCTGCGTTAACGATAAGCGATTTAACATCTAAAATAGACACTTGTCACTTAGTTCTTCCACCGAATGCTTTAGGAATTTGGATGAATTGTTTCGGCTCGAAACGTGCACGCGCGTCAGTGAGGTTCTCGGCGATATAGAGACATTGGATCAGGGGGCATTTTCACTACTCTAGTTTATGGAGATCAATCACTTTTTTACACTTCGATTGGTCATAGCTCGCTCAACACTCCGTGTTTTCAGTTAAGGTCATTTCATTTCGTAGTCTCCCACCTCTTTTTTTCAGCTTTTAGAGACTGTGGGGCAAACGTCGTGGATTTTTTAAGCGGAGTATCGTCAATTGAGGAAGGAAGCCTGGCCCAGAGGGATGAGGGGGGCTACGCAGGATTCAGAGATGGAACTTATACTGGCCCTTTCAGGATTGACATCAGGATGCCGCGAGTCGTGTTCCGGCGGTTGATTTGGAAGGCCAGGCAGGATGTACGTTGCCTCTACGTACTAGAAAAAATCTGTGTAGGAGGCTGATAGTCACGCTTTAGTCACCCCTTACTTTATTCATGAGGAAGTGATTGTAAGAAAGAGGAAGCAAAAACACATCATCTTAAGAAGGCTTTGCTCTTTTCAATGGCCATTTCTTCTTGCCATAGTGTGGGCGGTAATCGACAGGTTTTACGAGGCGGCTAGCTCGTTTGCTCTAGTGCAGTGACGGTGTGCCGCAGTGCTATTGCGCCATAACTGCGGGCCGCGTTATCTGACGGAAAGCAGCTTTGGCTGCACGGTGTTAGTACAAACTATCCTCTTTTCTTATTCACGCATATCACACTTTTAGGAAATTCTTGTTCAGGCAGCGTAGTTCACTACACTCCAGCGCACCATCGTAACACCTAGTATAAAAGGCTCAGTACTACCAACTACAAGTTTTGCTATGTGTATTCTTCTATTTATTTATGTTCTGCTGTAGATGGCAGTCCAGTGCTGTTTGATGTTTGTGTTTTTGTTCCGGCGTAAGAAATAAATTATTAAAATGAGGTATTCACAACAAATATGTGTTATATGTTTGGCTTTCTTTCACTTTAGGGAGGGGTCTTTTAATGTGAATTCTCAAGCAGTGGGTCGTTTTCGTTCCTTTAGTTTCAATTTTTGTTCTTAGTCATCTCAATTACTACGTGCGCAGCAGCCAATTCCCATCTCAGGACATTACTAAAAATATTTTGAATGAAGAAAACAAAAACAAAAACAATATGAATGAAGTAAAAGGATTCATTAGTTGGTAAGGAAAGATTGCAAATGATCGGAAATTCTGCTCAGTGGAACAATTCTATGGATCTATAATTTGTTTAAAGCGCTACGTACCAAAGATTCTCGTACTTTATTGAAAGCTTATAAGACGTATATTCGCAAACAATAGTTGAAAGTGGTGCAATAGTCTTTTCTCCTCATAAAAAGCGTGATAGTGACTTAATCGAAAGTGTCCAGAACAACTTTACCAGGAAGCTCTTTATGCGGTGTTGTGGAGTCGGACCAACTTATTCCAAATGGCGCCGACAGAAGAGATCAAGTAGGCCTCAAAAGTTTATCTTCTAGGCGTGCTATTAATGATTTGCTAATGGCGTTAAAGATATTGACTGGCAGAGTGAGTTTGTGCTCTTCAGACTTCTTTGAGGTTGTTAGAGCAAACACTAGGAGAGGTAGTATCAAGCTCAAGATTCCGGTTTCTAAAACTCAGGTCAGGTTTAATAGTTTTCCAATCAGGACTCTCACTCGTTTCAACAAATTATTTCGTCAAGATACGCTAACTTTGTCTCTCAGTCAATTCAAAAGGCTGGCCTCTTAAGTTTAGCGCAATTTACTTGTCTTTTTTCTGTTCTTTCTTTCAGGGGTCTCTTGATTTTCATCTTCCTTTGAGTTGTGTTGATTACGTCTTTCTGCATTTGATGTTTTGATTTCTTTTGTTTGTTTCGTTTAGCACAGATATTATGCCATTTACTGTGCGCCTTTGTCTGTTTGGTTTATTATGTGTTGACTGTCCTACTCTACGTAGACTTGTCTACGTCTCCAATAAACAAATAAATTTGTCGAAATTCGGNATTAAAGGCAATATTCGTATGAAGTCAAAGTTTTTAGTTGTTTCAGCGCCGATAAAAGGTGAATCCCGGAGTTAAAAGAGTATCGTTTGCAGCCAGCGAAGGAGATAGGGCCGGCAATGACATTACTTATCGGCTCTTCTTGGGATAACGTCAAACGGTTAGTGCGGCGAGAGTTTGCCATCTCGCCGATCTCTAGCAATCTTCACGTCTTGCTTGATATGATTTCTACTCAGCGTAGCAGTGTTATATTGAAATGCTGCCTTCTGCTGTCGCTCGTTTAATCACAAAATCGACCACCAAAAATAGGAAGGTCATATTCGTGGTTCTTCAGCAATTTATGTTTGTATTTTGGGACGTGGAGGTCCATCGTACCTTCTTCAATAGAGGAGTCGATTCTGCACAGGTGTTAGTCGAAAAAGAAACGTACACCAAGTTAAAAAAGCAGGCATACCTTCGTTTGCTTTCTGCGGTGCAGACGCGTTTTCGCACAGGCGGAGTTGTCCTTCAGCGTGCTGCAGGGTCATGCCACGCGCGCGCGCACGTAGTGTTGTTGTTTGACTGCGGCCGCTTAGCAGAGAGGGCGTATGATACTGAAACGTGTTTACAATGTGTAGTGCAGAACCATCGCTTCCATGATCGTCAAAAAAACTAAGCAGTTTCTTTGCTCTCAGTCCCAATCGAGCAATCGGTGGGCCAATCCACGTTAGGCATGAGGGATTCGTCGCGGTATCCAGAACGGAATAGCTTGGATTGTGTTGGATAGAATCCATATTGTAAATCGGATAACATGAAGGAATGAAATTTTGGCGGTTAGGAGCTCTGGAAATTTTTTGCTAGACTCAACTCTTGGGAGTAATACACGGAAATTCATCGAGGCGCAGCGATGAAAGTCCATGAATGCGGAAAAAGAAAAGGGGGCTGTCGGGTCTCGGTCTTTCCCATTGGGTTTCTCTTATCCTGCAGGATAGATACTTTACGTGATTTCTAGTGGTCGTATTGTCATAGTAATCCCGTCTTTAAAGCAAATGCATGATCTTAAAGGCAAAGGTCGGGATTAGTTGACCAAAACCAACCCTTTCGGTCATCTCTGTACTTGGTTACGCACCAGTACAGATGTTCCCACGCTCAAAATCTCGAACGGCGCGGTAATAAGGCCCCAGGGCATGTACTATGCGCTATCGCCGCCTGGCCCCGCTACGACCGCCCACCTTGGGATGTGGTGCGTGGCTGGCATAACGTGTGAAATCAGCTAGGTTGATTGCCGTATCAACCGACTAGCTCTACGAAACTTGTTTGTACGTGCCTCTTTCCAAGCCAGCCTCCTTCACTGCTAGTGGGGAAGAGGGTTTTGTTAACGGCCTTGTCGACGGTTTTTCTCAGTTTTTTCTCCACTGTCGTTCTACTTCGCATCTCTATACTCAGTTTCAATCGCCATAATACCCCCTTATTGAGCCCGACTTTTGCCTTTAATGGTGGGAAGTAAATTCAATAGCTGTTGTCGACTTTAGCGAGAGCATGATCAAAGTGACTGAAGCCGGTATCCACGCCGTGCTCATAGTGCGCATATATCGAGCCAGTGGTCAGGGCTACTCACGATCAGTCAACTGAGAAATCCGCCCTTATCCTCCCTTGAATACTGCAATGGCTTCACTGGTTGCCGACACGAAAGGTGTTCACAATGCGGAGAGCGGAACCATTGCTTCCGCCATTGTCAACAAAAATGAACGTGTTTCTTCCAGCCCCAATCGAGCACACGGCAGGCCAAAATCCACGCCCTACAGACACGGCAGATCATCGACGGTATCCAGAATTAATAGCTCGACTGTTCTGGACAGAATCCATATCGTAAATCGGAATAACTATAAGGAGTAAGATTTGGTGGATTAGGGAGTTCTGGAACGCTCAAAGAAGTCGTTCGTAAATCCATAATATTAACGAAAACTCTCTCCCCAGAAACCACTTCACAAACTTCTGCTGAAGTCTACTTGCATCTTCAGAGTTGTTCATCTCTATCATGACAGTAATTGGGCGATGCACAAATCATTATGACTCTCTTCAATGGAAATTCTGATCTTCTCCAACCGGTTGACGACAGTGTGATCCAATAGTGTATCATAATGTCATACGGACGGAGGAGATAAGTTGCTTGCTTTAAAGGAATCTTGCGCGGAAAAATCATGATTCTATTTCAGCCATAAATCACTGGCTTGAGACTCATTATCCACGATAATAGTGAAAAGAACTGAAGTATTGCTTTCGTTTTGATTAGAAATTCGAAAACTCGAAAAGGCTGCTACGCGTTCGAATTGCCCACGGACGTCTTTCACGAATGCTGGCGACGGGGATGCTCAAACTTGGTTCTTGGAGTGCATTCACTAGAAGCTCTTTCTGGCCTTCTGCTTCGTTGCATTCACATCTTACACTTCTACTCCATCCTATTCCATCGATCGATTTGTCTCCACTCTCCGAAATCGCGCGCTTTAACCCGATTCTCTCATTGCGTCGCCTGGTACGTAGCCGGCCAAACGCCGTCTTCTTTCCATGCCTCGCCTGCCTCCTGGTCCTTCGATGGTCCATAACGTGTAGTTTTTGTACGTTTGTTTCTCTTCAGAAACCGAATCTTCATGCGTGAAACTTTGTGTGCTATTTCCAGTGATCACAACTGACATATTCATGTTAGGAAAGAGTGCAAGAATTTTCCGCGCAAGATTCCTTTAATTGGCGTTTTATGTTCCAAAATGGCCCACATCCATCCGGGGAGCAACATAAATGGGATTCGTCAGTAATCAGCTTCGATATATTGGGAGCACCATCACCTGTCGTCCTGTTGATCGTCGATTTGCTCGAGCGGGCGCCAGCAACGTCTCCATTCGTCCCTGTCGCGTGCTAGAGTGGTCCAGTGGATCCTCCTCGCTCGAGGGACACGAAGTCCTTCATTCCTTTCGTTCAGAGCTTTCGTGAAGAAGTCTGACCATCGGGCCGGCGGTCGTCCAGGTGTTCGTTTGACGTCCCGAGGGATCCAGTCGGTAACCGCTCTGGTCCAACGGTCATCGCAAAATCGCATGACGTGTCGGCCCACCTTATCCCACCATGAGGATACACATGAATCGTAGTCATCAGAAATGTGTTTTCAAGCACAACTACCTTAACTTTTGACCTTACCCAAAAGCCCGGGAAGCAAAAAATTAGCGATGGCTTTTCTGAGTAGTCTAACAATGGTCTTGGGCGTGCTCGTGGCTGTAAAGGCCTTATCAGATTACGCAAAATTTACGTCAGCAAGGCGGGTATAAAGTTCCGGTCCGATAAGCTACAACACGACGGTAGCAGTCCATTAAACATTTCGCCGGCCGTATTCCATTCTGTCCAAACTTTTTTCATTAGAAAGTTCACAATTTTGTGTGCAAACTTTCTGACCTAAGAACGACTAGAGCCCGACCATGTGAGCTTGCGATTCCAAAGATAGTTCGGCTGAAGTGATCCTCCTATCCCTTTCCTCTCGAGTGGACAATCTACTGTTCCATTTGTGGTCTTTTACCTACAGTCGCTAGCACAATTTGCCGCAGATCTGCAGCTCATCAGTAGATTTCTATGTATTTAGATTGAGTGTGGTGGTAAACATGGCCGTTCAGTCCTCTAAAATTTCAGGATGCGTTTCGCCATTCTCTTGGCCCTGGTTGGGCTCGCCGCTGCGTATTCATCAGCATCCAAATCATGATGCGAAATCGAGAGGTCACGTTTATGGATAGAAATGGAAACTATTTCGTTCGTTGGCTTATCGATCGAATTGAAGTGATTCTTCCGTGTTTAGATCGAAATGATTGAACGAGGCGAGTATGCCGCTTACGTCGAGTACCGTAACTCTCTCCGTGCGCCAATCTGGCCAGCCTTGGACAATCGGTAAGGCAGTTTTTCAAGAAATTGAAAAAAAGAGTTCGCAACTATAATATTAAATATTTTATGAGTACATATCCGTTGCTCGACAAGTTGCTTTTTAAAGACATTTCCAAAGGCAATCGTTGGATTTTAGGTATCTGACTACGGAGACTACGAGTACGTCGGTAACATCACTATCGGCACACCCAGCCAGCAGTTTGTCGTTGTGCTCGACACCGGCTCAGCCAACCTCTGGATACCGGAAACCGCTTGCGAGTAAGTCCTTCAAAACGAGTTTAAAGGCAAGATTCAGGAATAAATTATGAGGTAATTTGGGTAGGGGTAGGAGGTGGACCGCCAGTGGAGAAAAAAAAATCGTGAAATACACAGGAAATACGAGCCTTTTGCTCTACGCTGCGGAGAAGTTCAAAAGGCCGGCAGGGAGATGAGAGATAATGTGAGCGCGGAGAGCGCTAGAGAAGTCCGAGTAGAGAGAGCATAGCAGATCAAAGCGACGCAGACAAGATATCGAGCGGTGGGCGGAGCGTGTCGCAACAGGTGGAGCGTGTCAAAGTTCTTAGCGCCTAGCGTCTAAATAACGCTTTTCGAAGTAGGGAAGTGACGCGACCTCTGCACTTGCGTACCTAGCGCTTCTAGCCACCGTAAAGGCTCATTAAGTGGGTCTGAGCCCGAACTTTGCCTTTAACTCACGTACAGGGTTGTGAATGTAGTTGGTGGAGCCGGATCCCTATACAACCTTCACTGGCTAGTTAAAGGCTAGTTCTTCTCCGATTCCATTCATGGACCGCTGTATCGGTCTTCTGGACCATTCACCATGTTTATAAGGTGTATTAGGAAAAAGAGAGAGGGTGTTCATGTCGTTAGGGGAAAATTGAAGTGAGTGAGCCCCTTGCAGAACTTGGGGCCGAGTTAGGGAGGGGAAGGTACTCTGGAGGGGGGACGTGAGCGAACTGCCCCCCCCCCTCTGCTGGGCTTAGTACTAGCGTCACCTTTCAGCGTTTTCAAGGGCCCTGTTAAATGTCCTACACCCCCCCTGAAGGCCATGATCGTCTGAGTGAGTGTGAGTGTAGAATACAGGGCGAACTGTAAAGGATCCACTTGCTGTGTAACAATTATAGGTACATGAAGGATCGCTCACCTTCTACTGAGAATTTGGGAAAAAGGAATAGTGTTTCTGAAAAAGACTAAATTTCCTCAAATTTCAGTACATCTTGCAACAAGAAGCATAAGTTCGTGTCTACGTCTTCGTCCACATTCGTGAAGAGCACAAAGACCTGGACGATCCAGTATGGTTCTGGAGATGCCAAGGGAGTGCTAGGAACTGATACCGTTAAGGTAACTACGTAGTTTCTGGTAGCGAATAAGCACTAATTCGTTCTTTGATACAAGATCACTGGAATTGATCACTGGAAAATCCGAAAATTCTGCTGCAAGAAATCCATAAATCGATTATCTGCGTTATCAAAAACATCGTTACAGTTCGGTGGAGCTAAGGAACAGCAGCTGTCTGTGCCAAAAACCACCTTCGGACTGGCTACACACATCTCGGCAGACTTCAAGAATGTGAGTAAGACTCAGAAAATTAGGGCTGTCACGGATCTTACAGTCTCTCAGCGGGCTTTTCGTTGTAGGACCCAACTGACGGTATCCTTGGACTTGCCTTCACATCTCTTGCCGTCGACAAGGTTGTACCTCCGCTTATCAACGCTATCGACCAGAGTGAGCTTTACTCTCATTTTCTGACAAAGTTCTTCTGAAAAAAAGCAAGAAAGCGGTCGATGTTTAGCCTCGCAACGCGCCATGCACTCACGTTATATTCGAAATGGCACAAGCATTTGAGAGTGTATTTGAACTGA